AGCTTATACTACAGACGGGCAAAGGGCGACCTAATTGAAGTGTCTAAACATCTCAGAGGGCACTACTCGATCGAGTGTACAGTCTCCTTCAAGATTCTTTGAACACTGCTGGAGACAGCTGGCAACTCAAGTGATCGGTGATTTTTTATTTAGTTCCCCGTTGCTTAATTTAAGGGTAGGCCTTTGTTGTTTCGTATTATATTATACTACGTACTATAGTAAACAAACGGCCATGAGTTGCCAGCTGTCTCCAGCAGTGTTCGAAGAATCTTGAACGAGACTGTACATACCTGAAGCTGGAGGACGCCCGCCCCACAAGGGGTCACAGCTCAAGGCTGAAGAAGCCACAAGTCCTGAAAACAGCGAGGGCCAACTTTTCGGAGTGAGAAGTGTGAACTCTTGGAACACTCTGCCAGAGTGTGTTGTTACGGCACCGAGTGTGAGATGTTTCAAGACCAGACTTGACCAACACTGGAGCAGGTTCAGATACATTCAGGAACCAGTGCAAGCCAGTACTTGCTAACAGTGTGTAACAGAGACGTGACCGATCGCCCAAGCGGCTAACGAGCCGATCAGTGACGAAGGTGATAAAAGTAAAAAAAGTATGTATTGTCAGTGTGTTAAAAGGTTTTGATGATGATAATAATAGACACAGTACAGCAGCCGCCTCAGTCCAATATATATATATAGGGAGATGGAAAAAAAGATGTTTAAACAATATTATTTAACTATAGCATTTTGGTCATAAATTTATATTTCGAATATTTTTACTTTTCGATTTCACTTAAATGTACTTCTGATCACTCAAAGTGGGCAGGGCTTTGAAGTAGAGGGAAAGAGTGGAGTCAAACACAAAAACCTGACAGTAATGATAATTAGGAATCTTAAACCAAGTAAACAATGTGTTTTTGATCGAAACAAGGTTAACAAAGTATTTTGGTTCACACAAAGGAGTGTTAGTTACAAGACTAGCGAGGTCATCCTAAAACTATATCCTGCACCGCTTGTGAGATCTTACTTGGATTACGCGGTTCAGTTCTGGTCACCGTACTACAGAATGGATATACAGGATGTCCATAAATGATTCCCCTGATTAAAGCATGGTCTACCACTGTTTTTAGGATAATCATTTGTGGACACCCTGTAGAATCTCTAGAAAGAATTCAGAGGAGGATGACAAGACTAATCCCGAGCATTAGGAACCTTGAGTACAGAGACAGATTAAAGCATCTTAATTTGCACTCCCTCGAGAGGCGTAGAGTGAGGGGCGATATGATAGAGGTGTATAAATGGAAGTCAGGGCTAAACAAAAGTGATATAACAAAGGAACTCAAACTATCCAATCAGGAGCGAACTCGTAGCAACATTGGTTTGGAAATAGAGTAGTGGATGAGTGGAATCAAGTTACCAAACATCACCCTTAACTCGAATACGCTGGATAGTTTCAAATATAAGTTGAATGGATAGGGGTTGGGTGTAAGCGGGACTGCCCAGTATGAGCCAATAGGCCGCTGCAGTTTCCTCCATTCTTAGGTTCTTAACTAGTCCTAACCTAACTCCACGTATTAAAGAAAACTTTATAAAGGATAATATTTAACATTAGGTTTAGAAAGAACATCCCAAAAATGGCGGAGGAAGTAGATATTTGCTGAACAAAAAGATGATCAAGAACTTACCTAACGACTCTCAAAATATCAGAATACATATCTAACCTAACCAGTGAAACCAGAAGGACCGGACCTAATATCCTTCCTCAGAATGGCCACATTTAGTGGGTGGCCATTAGGTAAAGATAATAATCAAGATTCTCAGCTTACTTGGGACAAGTTAAGAGACAAGTGGAGTCTCAGTTGATCTTTTGGGCTGTTATTGTGTCAGTCAGTAGTGACTCGTGTACAAGAGTGAGGTTGAAGGATGTGGCTACGATACAAGCCCCGCCCTCCTCGTGGCTCATACATAATGTTCGATTAATATTGTTATATCGCAAATAATTCTTATTTAACTGTTAAGGATACCCAGTTCTGACTCATATTAATGCCGAATTTAATGTCTGTAAAGATACAACTGCTTGAAAACATTAACTTTCACGATATGAATGGAAATAAAAAGTTTGAAATAAAGAATATTTACCGTCGAAGCCACAAACAAATTCACGCTTTCGGATAAGTGGGGGAGAGAGGCTTGTAGTGGATACTCATCCCCTACAACTGCCACTGCCGTTAGTCGCTGATCAGCCAATCCCGATCCCGCGTCATGTTTCTCTGACAAGCCTAGTGTTTGACTGCGTGGGGTCGGCCACCAGCGACACTCACTTCCGGCCACCAGCGACGCTTACTTCCGTGAAGGGGATTCTACTGAGTGCACTTAAACAGACAAGACCTCCTCTCAACAAGCTCCTCACCACACAGCAACTCCCTGGCACTGCATTGTACATATAATATAGTATATAGAAAACGCCATAGCTGAATTTCCCTTCTCACCCCCATCCCTTTGCGATTCAACATAACGTTAACCCCACAAATGGTGACCCCCGGAGTAACGCACTCATACATGATGGATGAGATGCGGATCACTCTTCCAATCTTCAATCACAACATTGAAGACTGGCTAATCCACACGGAGGCAGCTTTCATCGGCTCTACAGCTACAGACGAACAGAAGTACGTCGCCCTGGTCTGTTCCCTGCCCACAGAAGTCGCCACACAAGTTGCAGAAGTCATCACTAAGCCCCAGATGACAACACGTTCACAGCTCTACGAGATGCTCTCAAGAGGCGATACCAGCAGCCTGACATCAATCTCCTGCGAGACCTATCCGGTCTCTCCTTCAGTAACTCAACGCCTGCACGTCTCTGGGACGAGATGCGGAGACTGAACTCCCGCCACACAGACAGGCTTCCTGACACTATCCTGCGCCAGCTTCACACTCAGACGCTCCCTGCAGAAGTTCGTCTCGCCCTCTCGGCATTGGACTACTCTACTACCCCGGCGACCTATGCAGCCACGGCAGACAGTGTATTCCACGAATACACTGCTGTGCGCCATGCTGCCGCGGACAACTCAGCGGCCACACCGTCACTTTCCTCCGGTTTCGTCAACCAGATCAACGCTCCTCAGAGAAGTAGCATTCCACCGGAAAAACAAGACATGAGGGACCTGCTACACTCTCTACACCGCAGAATGGACACCCTCGAGCAGCTCTGCTTCTCCATGCCTGCTGCTGCTCCTGCCCCACGCACTGTGTACTGCCAACCCCAACAGCCCCGTCCTGCCTTAGACGCCGCCGCCAGCCCCCAGCACAGTGTACCTATCCTTTGTTGGTACTATCAACATTTTGGTGCGAGAGCTAGACGCTGTGAGGCTCCCTGCAACTACACGAGGAAGCGACGTCAACGGGGGTTGGTAAACGCCACTACCTCCGTCACTTCAGGCGTCTCACTGCTGCATGTCTCCGACCACATCCGTGGACTCAGTCACCCACGTGTACGGGCTACCCAGTGCCTGGCCTACCAGTCCTCCAAGATACATCGACCCACACGGGCTCCCTTAGAAGCCTTTCCTGTACCCAAAGGACGCTTGCAGATAGTGCACCTCGACATCGTGGGACCTCTTCCATTATCCTGCGGCAACACCTACATCTTCACCTGCATTGACCGTTTCACCAGGTGGACAGAAACCATTCCCATGCCTAATGCTACAGCAGAGTCAGCCGTCCGCGCCTTCCTGTCCGGTTGGGTCTCCCGTTTCAGTCCTCCCACGACTGTCATCACTGATCGAGGAGTCCAGTTTGAGTCACAACTCTGGCATAGTTCTCCTGCAGTTCCTCGGCACTTCCAGACAATGCACTACTTCTTACCACCCTCAATCCAACGGCATGGTAGAGCGGTTTCATTGTCAGCTGAAGGACGCCATCAAGGCACAGCACGACCCCTCCAGCTGGACGTATGCTCTACCCTTAGTGCTCCTTGGCATCCGCGCATCACACAAAGAAGACATGGACTGCAGCCCAGTGGATCTCACCCTAGGCGCACCCCTTCGCCTCCCCGGGCACTTCTCACCTACTCCTGACCTCGACCACTTCACTCCTGCTGTCCGTCACGACCTACTGCAAACACTACGACAAGCAGTTTCATCATTCAAGGCTACTGCCCCTCGCCAGCCTTCCCATCGCCCTGAATATATTCATCCCGCGCCTCCTTCGTCAGTCTGCCCACCGTTGCCACTTGCAGCACCACCTCGCCCACAACATTTCTGGTACCCTCTTTTCATCCTCAGGTACCTACTGCTCCTGATACGGACCCTGCTCCTGACGTGGATCCTGCTCCTGATGAGGATCCTGCATCCGGTCCTATGGACCCAGACACCCCACCCGGCACCCCTGAGGACTTTGCACCTGCCGCGAGAGAAGCACCACATTCCTCGCCTGTTCAACCTTCCCTTATCCACACCCTCCTTCTCCTCCCACAGATCTCGAGTTACTAGACGGAATCGTCACCCGTTGAGGTCGAATGGAATACAACCCTGCCGACAAATTTCCTGCAGCGCTTGGAGGGGAGGGGGGAGTATTGTAGTGGATACTCTCCCCTACAACTGCCACTGCCGTTAGTCGCTGATCAGCCGATCCCGCGTCAAGTTTCTCTGACAAGCCTAGTGTTTGAATGCGTGGAGTCGGCCACCAGCGACACTCACTTCCGGCCACCAGCGACGCTTGCGGTGGACGTGTATATAAGCTCACAGCCTCGCCGTGAAGGGGATTCTACTGAGCGCACTCAAACAGACAAGACCTCCTCTCAGCAAGCTCCTCACCACACAGCAACTCCCTGGCACTGCATTGTACATATATTATAGTATATAGAAAACGCCATAGCTGAATTTCCCTTCTCACCTCCATCCTCGTGCGATTCAACATAATGTTAACCCCATTGGCTTCTTCGCTTAATACCATCAACTAAAAAATGAACCTGAGTACAGGAACTGCTGCAGGTTAGTCAAAACAAGATACTTGTTCCAGGTCGTCTTTATTATACATACAATATAAAAATAGACTAGGCTAGAGGTCCAGTGGCCCGACTTCAGGTCTGGCTGGCCATGGCCAAACAGACGCAGCAGGTAGCCACATAGTGTGGGGGGGGGGGGGTTGTTTACAGTTTTACAGGGAGCTAAATTACACTGACATTTTGTCTCAAACCTGACCTCTCGCTCTTTAATCCCTAAAACTGTACATATATATATATATATATATATATATATATATATATATATATATATATATATATATATATATATATATATATATATATATATATATATATATAGTTGTTATTGACATTATTAACTTTAATAGTAAGTAATTATCATCAACCCAAATCTAGTATCTACTACATATTTCTTCACGTTTCAGCTATAAGGGAAGATGAGCTATATGTAAAAAAGAATAATTTCCTAAATATTATCATGTTGATAGAGATAATATGATGGTCTTACAAATCCATGTGTTGCGTTTCTTCATATGTATGAAAATAAGCCTCAAGACATTTGGTAAATATTAATTTACAAGTGAACTATTGATGGCAACTAACAAAGAGGCGAGGCGTTACACCTGATAACAATACCCGGAGCTGGTGAGCATGAGAGGTGGCAGAGACATCAGACTTCAGAACATCGCGAAGTAGAAGAAATTCCGGCATCTGCACTCTAATACCAAGAGCTTCTTCCACACTTACTGTACTGTACTGTACTAGATCATTACTGCTAACCATAAAAGGAAGGTGTCATTAAGCGAAGTTCTGGAAATCCTGGCAAGATAAGCTATGAGAGCAGCAGCGACCCTGGCGGTAGTGTATAGTACTACTATTACTACACGCTGGGTGCTCCAGGGCGCTCCTCTGGTACCCCCACACACCACCTGACACACATACACACACACACATACACCACTGTCGTGTGTCGAATGTCGTTGGAGAATAAAATGAGAAATCTTACCTAATTTGGCCTTCTGTATGCGTGGCACTATAGGTAATGGGGTATGTACAAATATATACATATATACTCAAATTACACATTATAGTCGACTCACTGATATTTGATACAGTACTCTTAGAGCACCAACATTACAACATTACTGTATAGTGTTATTATCGACACATTATCTTATTGTCTTGCTCTATGACAACACATAACAACTGTAGTGCTCCTGAAGCACTAGAGGCTTCTCTCATATATATATATATATATATAAAACATATTGGAAGCATCAAAGTCATCAGTATTGTCGTGGGTTGTCGTGCTCAGTCTCGAGTTCGTGTTCTCTCAGACGACCGAAAGGACGATCTGACCGAACTCAATCTGTGGCTGGCCGCTCCGGAGACTATCATCTGAATGAATTCTTGACCTTGTCTGTCTCGGCTGTTGTTGCCGGGTGAGGGAAGAGGGCGATACTTGTTGGGTAGGAGACGAGAGGGGAGGGGGGCGGGATGGAAAGGATGGCTTAAGTGGTGGAGCTTTGGGGAAGTTCAGTGGTATGGAATGGAGGGTCAGGTGGCGGGTGGGACAGGGCTGCAAGGTTCAACAGGAGTAGGAGCGCAGGAAGTAGCCAAAAATGAATCGTGCTGAGGAGTCTCCAGATACAAGGGAGGAATGTGAGGAGAGGAAAGCCTAGGGTAAGCAAGCTGACTCGGAGAGACCTGAAGAGTGAGGTGATGGGAAAATGATGTGTGTCGAGAAGAGCGGAAATCGGACGCACAAACGTCTGGAGAAGGAATCTGACGAGGAGACAACTGGGGAGAGGAGTGTTGGGAGGAGGAAGACTGTCCTGGATAAAGTTGTTGTGAAGAGTGTTGAAGAGATGGAGAGTCCTGTGGAGAGGAACCTTTGGCGGGAGAGTGTTGAGGAGAAACACGGTCTTCTGGGAACAGTCTTTGGCGAGAATTAAAATGCTCAGAAGGACATTCATCTGAAAGTGTTTGGCAATGAGAGACTTGAGGAGACGAATGTTTGGAGAGACAATCCTCAGGAGGAGGACTATGGCAAGGAGAAAGAGAGGGAGATGAATTTTGGGAAGAAGAGTAATCGTCAGGGAAAGGACTCTGGTTAGCTGATACTTGAGAATAGTTGTCTGTAGAAGAGTGGCTCTGGCGGGGAGTAGAGTGTTGGGAGGAAGAACAGTTCTGTGGAGAGGGAGTTTGCCGAGAAGAGGAAGGACACTCTTCAGTAAACTGGCTTTGATGAGGTGAATGTTCAGTGGTAGACTCTTGGGAAGAAGGACACTCTTCATGAGAAGGACTCTGGAGAGGCAAAAGGTTTGAGGAAGAGTTTTGAGAAGGACACTCTTCAGAGGAAGGACTCTGGGGAGGCGAGGAGTAAGACGATGAAGGTTCTTTTGAAGGAAGATGTGGTGGGACAGGGTAAGCGTACTCCCGTGCTGATGAGGGCGAGTCAGAGGTGATGGGAGGGGGGAAGGAGGGGAGTACGAGGGGGAGGAATTGGGACCGGGCGTAGAAGGGCGGAATGCGCGGGAGGGGCTGGGCGGAGGTGGGACCATCAGGGCCACCACTTTCTTCAGGAGTTGGGAGTGGGGTAGGGAGGACTTGGGGTGTCGCCGGGGCGGCCGCTAATTGTCAGCAAGACCCATCAGAGTCTGGATGATGGGTCAGCTCCTGGTGTCGCCGCCACAAGTTCTGACAAGGAGACAGGATAGCTTATGAAACATAAAGTCCATCTAATATACATATGTTAACAAAATACTTATAAGTGATACAGTGAAACTAAACACTGTTAAAATGTTGTAGTTCTAAAAGAAAGTGAATGTGATTCCTTTAGGCTTGATGGTCTATCAAGAGATGCTTTCGTTAAGATGCGAGACAATAATATCAATACGTAGTTATGGAGGTTGTTGCACTTTTGGACAATTAACAGTAGTCACAAAACGGAACTCTTTGGTCAATTAATACCACTGTAGATTAACCTGAGACTCAATACAAAGATGCCTTACTACAGCCTTCATAAAACAATATATAGCAAGTGTTTTTGTTGTTGTATTTTTGACCATGTAACAGAGGTCAAAACCAAAAAGTCATGTGTAACTGACTGAGGGAATTATGTTACATTCACCTGAGAAACTTGGCCTCTCACACATCCTAGTAATAAACATCTAGACACATGAACACATTTTCAATACTCAGACAAATTCTTATTGATATAAATGGTGGAAGTCACACTACTTAGCGACTCTTCACTCTCATGTATAGTAATTAATAAGAAACAACTACTCGGGTGTTGTTAGTTATGGTGAGTGTGACTGTCAGTTATGGCACAATACAGCGAGTGGAGTGGTGACTAATGTAGTGCACCTCTGACAGTTCTGGTACAGTAGTGGAGTGGCGACTGATGTAGTGCACCTCTGATAGTTCTGGTACAGCATGTGGAGATGGCTTATCTGGTGAAACGAAAGAAGAAGAACGGAAGGGAGATAAAGTTAGAGACACAACAGCTTACCTGACGGAGGGAGGAGAGGCTCTTGAGGATGACCCATTTGTCGGGGGAGACGAGAGGCTCGGAGAGGGATCTGGGCTCCCCTGAGGACCTCCTGCCAGACTCGTAGCCGGAGGAGGTGACACTGACGGTACGTACGTCCTCGTCTTGCCCGGAGGTGGCGCTCCCCGGCCGGGAGGACACACCTGTACAGGTAACACACCTTTAGTATTCCTGGGAGGTTAGGTACTCGAGGCGCGGATGATATTACAAAAAATAAAGAAAAATAATTCTGGATTATTCTGTTTTAAGTCACCACTGGATGACTAGTCAACACTATAAGAGTACAAATTAAAAATATATAAACACATCATTTTCTTTTAAGAATATTAAACAAAGATACTTGCTCATTATAGAGCTCCAGCCTCAAGACAATGATACAATTCATGAAAACAGAGATAATTATTGATGACATGTCTACAGCCGTATAGTGTTTGTCTGAATACAAACAGCAGCTGTCTAGAGCCGTGTAGCGTTTGTCTGTCTACAAACAGCAGCTGTCTAGAGCCGTGTAGCGTTTGTCTGTCTACAAACAGCAGCTGTCTAGAGCCGTGTAGCGTTTGTCTGTCTACAAACAGCAGCTGTCTAGAGCCGTGTAGCGTTTGTCTGTTTACAAACAGCAGCTGTCTAGAGCCGTGTAGCGTTTGTCTGTTTACAAACAGCAGCTGTCTAGAGCCGTGTAGCGTTTGTCTGTTTACAAACAGCAGCTGTCTACCAAGCACAGGAGACACGCCTTTATGGTCTTTCTTCCTCTAAGTGTCCTGAGCAGTGAGTGCCCCATGTACTGTCTAGGGATTACATCTGCCGTAATGTCATAAATAGTAATTGACACGTCTACTTTCTAAAGATGACGTCTGTGACAGTGTCCGGAGACCTTAGTGATGTTCCTATTGTCAACACGTTAGATCAAATCTTCAACAGTGTCCTGAGGTGTGTGTGTGTGTGTGTGTGTGTGTGTGTGTGTGTGTGTGTGTGTGTGTGTAGGCGTCCAAAACTGACGAGTGACAGATTGCTTTGCTAACTAATAATTCAGTGTTCTCTGCTTGCTAGTAATACAGTGTTCTCTGCTAGCTAGTAATACACTGTTCACTGCTAGCTAGTAATACGGTGTTCACTGCTGGCTAGTAACACGGTGTTCTCTGCTAGCTAGTAATACATTGTTCTCTGCTAGCTAGTAATACATCGTTCTCTGCTAGCTAGTAATGCAGTGTTCTCTGCTAGCTAGTAATACAGTGTTCTCTGCTAGCTAATAAATTAGGGTTCTCTGCTAGCTAGTAATAGTGTCCTCTGCTAAATTAGCAATACAGTGTTCTCTGCTAGCTAGTAATAGTGTTCTCTGCTAGCTAGTAATACAGAGTTCTCTGCTAGCTAATAATAGTGTCCTCTGCTAGTTAGTAAAACAGTGTTCTCTGCTAACTAATAATAGTGTTCTCTGGTAGCTAGTAATACAGTGTCCTCTGCTAGTTAGTAACAGTGTTATTTGCTAGCTATTAATAGTGTTCTCTGCTAGCTAGTAATGGTGTTCTCTGCTAGCTAGTAATGGTGTTCTCTGCTAGCTAATAATGATGTTCTCTGCTAGCTAGTAATGGTGTTCTCTGTTAGCTAGTAATAGTGTTCTCTGCTAGCTAGTAATGGTGTTCTCTGTTAGCTAGTAATAGTGTTCTCTGCTAGCTAGTAATGGTGTTCTCTGTTAGCTAGTAATAGTGTTCTCTGCTAGCTAGTAATAGTGTTCCCTGCTAGCTAGCACTGGTGTTCTCTTCTAACTGGCAATGGTGTTCTCTGCTAGCTAGTAATGGTGTTCTCTGCTAGCTAGTAATGGTGTTCTCTTCTAGCTGGCAATGGTGTTCTCTGCTAGCTAGTAATGGTGTTCTCTGCTAGCTAGTAATGGTGTTCTCTGCTAGCTAGTAATGGTGTTCTCTGCTAGCTAGTAATGGCGTTCTCTGCTAGCTAGTAATGGTGTTCTCTTCTAACTGGCAATGGTGTTCTCTGCTAGCTAGTAATGGTGTTCTCTTCTAGCTGGCAAATGGTGTTCTCTGCTAGCTAGTAATGGTGTTCTCTGCTAGCTAGTAATGGTGTTCTCTTCTAGCTGGCAATGGTGTTCTCTGCTAGCTAGTAATAGTGTTCTCTGCTAGCTAGTAATGGTGTTCTCTGCTAGCTAGTAATGGTGTTCTCTCTAGCTAGTAATGGCGTTCTCTGCTAGCTAGTAATGGTGTTCTCTTCTAACTGGCAATGGTGTTCTCTGCTAGCTAGTAATGGTGTTCTCTTCTAGCTAGTAATGGTGTTCTCTGCTAGCTAGTAATGGTGTTCTCTGCTAGCTAGTAATGGTGTTCTCTTCTAGCTGGCAATGGTGTTCTCTGCTAGCTAGTAATGGTGTTCTCTGCTAGCTAGTAATGGTGTTCTCTGCTAGCTAGGTGTTCTCTGCTAGCTAGCTAATGGTGTTCTCTTCTAATGGTGTTCTCTGCTAGCTATGGTGCTAGCTGGCTCTGCTAGCTAGTGGTGTTCTCTGCTATGGTAGCTGGCAATGGTGTTCTAGCTAGTAATATTCTCTGCCTGGCTAATGGTGTTCTCTGCTAGCTAATGGTGTTCTCTGCTAGCTAGTAATGGCGTTCTCTGCTAGCTAGTTCTCTTCTAACTGGCAATAGTGTTCTCTGCTAGCTAGTAATGGTGTTCTCTTCTAGCTGGCAAATGGTGTTCTCTAGCTAGTAATGGTGTTCTCTGCTAGCTAGTAATGGTGTTCTCTTCTAGCTGGCAATGGTGTTCTCTGCAGCTAATGTGTTCTCTCTAGCTAGTAATGGTGTTCTCTGCTAGCTAGTAATGGTGTTCTCTGCTAGCTAGTAATGGCGTTCTCTGCTAGCTAGTAATGGTGTTCTCTTCTAGCTGGCAATGGTGTTCTCTGCTAGCTAGTAATGGTGTTCTCTGCTAGCTAGTAATGGTGTTCTCTTCTAGCTAGTAATGGTGTTCTCTGCTAGCTAGTAATGGTGTTCTCTGCTAGCTGGCAATGGTGTTCTCTGCTAGCTAGTAATGGTGTTCTCTTCTAGCTGGCAATGGTGTTCTCTGCTAGCTAGTAATGGTGTTCTCTTCTAGCTAGTAATGGTGTTCTCTGCTAGCTAGTAATGGTGTTCTCTGCTAGCTAGTAATGGTGTTCTCTGCTCGCTAGTAATGGTGTTCTCTGCTCGCTAGTAATGGTGTTCTCTACTAGCTAGTAATGGTGTTCTCTGCTAGCTAGTAATGGTGTTCTCTGCTAGCTAGTAATGGTGTTCTCTGCTAGCTACCCTGTGACGCCTCCTGCACCATGAAGATCCTCCGCCGGCTTCCTGCTTCTCTCCCTACGTCAGAAATTTGAGAAAACTCGAGTCAGTGGTTTGGTTTCTATATAGAATCATTACGGAGAAAATCTATCAACATACACTTAATATTCTTAATGAAATGAAAACAACAGTAATACCTCGATATAACCGACTTATCTCGCCATATACAGGTAATCCGTTAAATGGAGGGTCGCATGTAACGGACCCTCGATATAACGGACTTTCATCTCTATATAGTTCGTAAGATAGAGGTTTCACATCTAATGGACCCTCGATATAACGGATTTTCCTTTCCATATAGTCTGTTAAATAGAGGTTTCACAGAATATAATACATTACACTCTGGAAATGATTTGAGTTTTATAAAATTAGGTCACGTAACTTTGTTAAGTAAATCGTAATTATTGTGGTTGTTAGTTTAACTTCGAGAAATATTTAAATAAAATATGAAATACTGACAAAAAAATTGAGTGCAGGTCCCCACTCCCACAGTACAGCTCCCCACTCCTACAGTACAGCTCCCCACTCCTACAGTGCAGGTCCCCACTCCCACAGTACAGCTCTCCACTCCCACAGTACAGCTCTCCACTCCCACAGTACAGCTCCCCACTCCTACAGTACAGCTCCCCACTCCTACAGTGCAGCTCCCCACTCCCACAGTACAACTCTCCACTCCCACAGTACAGCTCCCCACTCCTACAGTACAGCTCCCCACTCACACAGTGCAGGTCCCCACTCCCACAGTACAGCTCTCCACTCCCACAGTACAGCTCCACACTCCTACAGTGCAGCTCCCCACTCCTACAGTGAAGCTCCCCACTCCTACAGTGCACCTCCACAGTGTGGGTAGCCCGTACACGTGGGTGACTGAGTCCACGGATGTGGTCGGAGACATGCAGCAGTGAGACGCCTGAAGTGACGGAGGTAGTGGCGTTTACCAACCCCCGTTGACGTCGCTTCCTCGTGTAGTTGCAGGGAGCCTCACAGCGTCTAGCTCTCGCACCAAAATGTTGATAGTACCAACAAAAGGTAGGTACACTGTGCTGGGGGCTGGCGGCGGCGTCTAAGACAGGACGGGGCTGTTGGGGTTGGTAGTACACAGTGCGTGGGGCAGGAGCAGCAGCAGGCATGGAGAAGCAGAGCTGCTCGAGGGTGTCCATTCTGCGGTGTAGAGTGTGTAGCAGGTCCCTCATGTCTTGTTTTTCCGGTGGAATGCTACTTCTCTGAGGAGCGTTGATCTGGTTGACGAAACCGGAGGAAAGTGATGGTGTGGCCGCTGAGTTGTCCGCGGCAGCATGGCTCGCAGCAGTGTATTCGTGGAATACTCTGTCTGCCGTGGCTGCATAGGTCGCTGGGGTAGTAGAGTAGTCCAATGCCGAGAGGACGAGACGAACTTCTGCAGGGAGCGTCTGAGTGTGAAGCTGGTGCAGGATAGTGTCAGGAAGCCTGTCTGTATGGCGGGAGTTCAGTCTCCGCATCTCGTCCCAGAGACGTGCAGGCGTTGAGTTACTGAAGGAGAGACCGAATAGGTCTCGCAGGAGATTGGTGTCAGGCCGCTGGTATCGCCTCTTGAGAGCATCTCGTAGAGCTGTGAACTTGTTGTCATCTGGGGCTCAGTGATGACTTCTGCAACTTGTGTGGCGACTTCTGTGGGCAGGGAACAGACCAAGGCGATGTACTTCTGTTCGTCTGTAGCTGTAGAGCCGATGAAAGCTGCCTCCGTGTGGATTAGCCAGTCTTCAATGTTGTGATTGAAGACTGGAAGAGTGATCCGCTTCTCATCCATCCTGTATGAGTGCGTTACTCCGGGGGTCACCATTTGTGGGGTTAACGTTATG